TAACTGGAACCTAACGGCTCAAAAATCCAGGGATTCGGAACCTCCTGACCCCTTAAAACTGTTAAACTTTAATTAACAGTTATATTTCTCTTAAAATTATGAAACCCCTGACCCCTTAAAACCATTAACCTTTCGTTAATAGTTATATTACTCTTAAAATTATGACATAATAACAGCCCCATATGCAAAACCCCTGACCCCTTAAAACCGTTAACCTTTCGTTAAAAGTTATATTTCTTTTGAAATTGTGATGTCATAACAGCCCTATATAACCTTTGAAAACCGTTAAACATATCGTTAACGGTTATATTCTCTTTAAGATTATGATATGGTATAGTAGCTAATGGTTAATGACATAATGGCTCATATAGCATAGTAACAGTTATTTTTCTCAACAAGATCAGTAATGCCATAATGGCCTTATGTAGTGTAGTAAAATAATGGTTAACTGTTAACAGTTATAACGGCCCATAGTATAACAGTTCTTTTATGAAGATTGAAAGCTATTTTTTACCCTTTTAATTAATAAATTATACATTTTATTTATGATTTAGAGTATCTAAATAAAGGTTCAATTATCATACAACATTTTAGATACAACGTAATATAATGAATATAACCTCGAATACCTTTTTTTCATCCTTTGCAGTGCCTGTACCTTTTTCATAGCAGATTCCAAGATTACTTTGTCCATCCGAATTGCCACATTTAGCAGATTTCAAATACTACTCGAATGCCTTTTTTTCATCTTTTGCAGTGCCTGTACCTTTTTCATAGCAGATTCCAAGATGACATTGTCCTTTCAAATTGCCACATTTAGTCTACAACTAACTTATCCCTAAATATTAACCATCACGCTAAATCTAACTATGCCAATCATGCCACTAAATCAACTCATTACTAATCATATAAGGCATGATCAAAAATATCGCCTTCTAGACAATCTTAGTAATATAAGATTGTGTATTTTATTAGCGCAAAATGTCAATTAGCATAAATATGAAATATTACCCAATTCATCTTTAAGTATTTGTAATTTAGCATGCCATATATTGCGAGCTACTATAAGTTTAAACAATAAATTAGTTTGATAAACTATTAATAAATTAAAATGCAATAAATTAACTTATTTCCTTTAAAAAGCCCAAATTATTTTCCTTAGAACTGGTCAATATCTCAATGTTACGTACTTTCACATAATATCACCAACTATTTACGTTCTTTTGCCAATTTCTTTACTATTTACTAAGCAGAAATCCTCATTATGAGTTTCCATTCTTGAACGGTTATGCTGGAACATATATTTGACACTAACTAATGTAAAACTGGTAAATAAAAAGTACTTATCGTACCGGTACGTAGTGTAACAGCGATTTATATTTGTGATATGATTGGTCAGTTTTATAATAGCCTCACATGCAATCGCTCGAGACACTGATTTATAAACGCTGACCTTTTATTGCTTTCATATTAGTCACGTACTGTAGAAATAATTTCCAGTAATCAGAATTTCCACCTTTTCCAAAATGTTAGTGACGAGATCTGTATACTCAGCTTAATTTGAATGAACATTTTATTTTAACATGTTTATTTACTAACAAAAGCTACATATTATTTGTCTAGTAGACCGTGTTCATTCGTAAGTACTGTATATAATTACTAGTGAAAAAAACTTACTGGTGAAATTAGAACTTACTAAAGGTTTCTATTTATTACGACTATAGAATAGAATTGAAAAGAATGAATTAAAGGTACTGTATTAATTTATTATTAAAAGTGTGCTGAGCAGAAGGAATATTTACTGTTACGAATTCGATATTGGGTTGAAAAGATAAACGTAAGGTATTTATTCATTATTAAAATTGCTGATTTAGGAAACATAATAGCAGATTTTAACTTTGGATATTGTTACTAAGGTTGAAGAGGTTGAATATAAGCCATTCGTTATCAAAAATCTGCTACGCTGATGAAACATTGCAAGCTGACTATTGTTATCAAATTGAATCGGTGTTGAAAAGGATGAGTATAGGTTTTATTTGTTATCAGAGATAGGTCATAAGTCATGCTGGCGGAATGCCTAATACTCATTATTATAGAATAGAGTTGGAATCGGAAAGAATTCAAAAAAAAACCTGATTTAGATAATGCCAGTAGAACATTGTGTTATTACTAATTATTATCATAAGACTGGTGTTAAAAAAATGTTCGAATGTTTCAGAAATCGACTAATGGGTTATTTTGCCAGAAATTCCAACAGTAGATCATTATTGATTAAATATGATCTAAATTTGAAATCTCTGGTTTTCAATTGGCGGTACTCATATCAACATGAAATTAGATGAAAGCATTTATTTGTCATTAAAATTCGTTGATATAGGTGACGATCTTGGAATAAATATGTTGGCGATTGTTATCGAAGCAGAACTAGTGTTAATAAAATACTACTTTAGGTAATCTAAATAAGAAAATTTACAGCTAGATTCTTTTTTATTGCTAAGTTTTATTATGGTAGGAAATTTCTTGACATTAATATGTATTTATTATATAGCATCGTGTATATACTTTACAATAATTAACTTTAATTATTATGGCGTATTTTATTATTAAAATCAATCAATGGATAATCAAAATAAATAAATAATTGGAGTTTCAGAATTAACTTATTTTCAAAAATATCAAATGTTAAAAGCTTGTGTAGTTTATTTATAAATATTTATATGTTTTAAACAATCTTTAAAACAAGAAATTGCTAATAGCACTGGGTTCCTGCGTTCCAATCGCTCTTTTATTTTACAAAAAATGTTGCGAAGAAAGATTTGGTCTTATTATAATAGGTTTTAGCGAGTAGTATCAAAACATCATCCTTTTTTTCTGGACCAAGTTTAGTGCTATCTACAAAATTTTCATCTTGAAGATTATGGTTAGGAGTAATCTTGACAACCACTTTGACAAGGTCATCTTTGTTGGACTTGGCATTTGACGGTTCAAAATCAAATTTTGATTGAATTCTGTTACAATCATAACTTTGATTATAGTTTCTTCTATTGCCACGAACTCTATGATTTTGTTGGATAAGATAACTGCCTCTTCTAGGAAGGGGGTTATTGTTTAGTACTAAACGATTATTACTCATAACTATTGACGTATATTACATTTTAAAAAATTATTAGAATTTCATATTATATGAAAACTATAAAAAAAAATAAAAGCTAATTTAAAAGAGCAACCTTGCTTAAGAGATATGGTCGAGCCTACAAAGTTGACACTGTTAAGTATGCCTACGTAACGTACATCAGATCTTGGTATGAGATTGATCTTGTTGTACCCAACGTATTTAACATTGTTCATCTTTGTCTCGTAACAAAAATGTTAAATTGAAAGTAGCCTATTTTTTGTCAACTAAATCTTTAGGTCAGAGCTAGAAAAGTACTAATTTACCTGTTATTGTCGGCAAATGACAGCACCATTACACAATATGCCGTGATCGAAAAGACAAGGGAGTATGGTCAGGGTTACAAGCCATATGCTACAACCCTGCCCTGATAACGCAAGGCGGGGATTGAAAGAGACATCAGACCAACAGGTGGAAACGTTGATATTATGCAACTGATTTTACACATAGTGTGCAACATATAAAAAAATTATTTTACAATACTTGATCAGTCTTGATCAGTCTGCTAGTACGTGTTAAGATTATAATCCCACACCATTTTATTGTATTAAAAATGGTGTGGGATTATAATCATAACATATACAAGCGGACTGATCAAGACTGATCAAGTATTGTAAAATAATTTTTTATATGTTGCACACCATGTGTAAAATTAGTTGTGTAATATCAACGTTTACTCATGCTCATCAGACCACATCAATTTTCATGCGAACACAGCTACGTAACAGAAAGCCACTGACCTCAACCTATATAAAAGAAGTGACGAATAAATCAATTCTCAAGATTCTTCTCTTTCTCCTTGCTACACAACCAAGCAATTATATCCGTTTTTCTTGACCCAACCCTTCCCACTACACACAGAACACTCTCCTGATTCTGCCATTTTCCTATTTAACAGCCGGCCTGCTTCGAGCAGGCGAAAAACCACTGGCTAATGCTGCTTCTCATTTATTCTACTGTTATTCTTCCAATCACATGACCAATCGTACCTATGCTTACGGAATGAATTCAATCTTGTCACGTGATGATTTCAAAAAAAACTCGTGATAATTAAAACACCCAAACCTGGATTCACGAGAAAGTGAACACCGTGCATTTTTGCATTTTATTTATATATCAAATTTATCCAATTGCTCAGTATTGTTAGAAAAAAAAATGAACCAATGCAGGGATACCGATTTTACCAATTTTCGCTTACAATTAAAACTTCTCTAAAAGAAAATTAAATTATAAATCAAAGTAAGCAAATAAGGTTAGTAAAATATAGTAACATCTTACTTATTCCCTTTTGGAAGCTAAGTTCGACTTTTCCTTTTGTTTTTTCAAGTGCATCGAATATGCAGTATCTCCTAACTATTTTAAGAAATTTAAGAAATGTACAGGGGTGCACGGGTTGTTAAACAAGCGAGTAAATCTTTTGATAATCTGTAATACCCTCGTACTTAAAATTTCTCTGAACGTATTAAATGTAAATCAGTGGCACCATCTCTATATTGATATTTTAAGAAATAGAATTAAATTGTATAAGACAATAAAAATTAATAAAATAAATATTAACAGTAACCTGACTATAAATTATAGTAATTATTAAGTGTCTTTATCCAGGGACAGCAATACTTATATGTTCCATTATTTTAGCCTTAATTGAATATGTCCAAATGTCCAATTCGCGCAATTTTTATATGTCAAATTGGTCCAATTGCCAACACTGTTTTTATCCGCAACTATTAAGGATATTTAAGAATTTAAATTGATGAAATACATCAAAGACATGAATCGAATATTGTTATAACTACCTCCTGAACTTGATAGAATCACTTCATACTTGCACAAACTTCTATTGCAAATAATTAATATACTTATAGCCAATTGTTAGTATATTCCATTATAAATATGAGCGAATTCAGACTATAACTAACAAATTTCACTCAAGATACTAATTCGATTACTCTTCTTATTTCTATTTTATTCATTATTTTGATAATTAATAGTAACTTCTAATAAATTTGTCTTTTTCTTGCTATTCTCGTTTGTTCTTTTATTCTCTTTTCAGTTTTCTTTTTCGCTCTTCGTTTTTTCTTTATTCTTCAATTTTCTTTTTTCGCTCTTTGTTTTATTATTTTATTCTCTTTTCAATTTTCTTTTTTCTCTTTCTCTCTCTCATTTTTGGTTTTTCTTTTTGTTCAGATTTTCTCTTTCTTCGGATTTTCCCTTTCTTCGGTCTTGGTTTATTCTCTTTTCAATCTTCTAATCTCTTTTTTTTTTTTTTCCTTTTTCTTTCTCTCACAATCTTCTTTTACTTTCTTCATTCTCTTTTCGATCTCTTTCTCTCTTCTTTCTGTTAATATTCCCCTTAATCTTTCTCTTTATTTCGTTCTTCGTTATATTCCTTCTCTTTTATCCTTTTTTTTCGTTTCTTTATTAATTCTTTTTCTCTCTTTTTCTACATTCTTTGTTTCTTTAAAAATGCAAAACCCAATTACATCGAAATATGATAAATTTTATATCTACAAAACACCGACTAACAAATATCAAGAATTTTGTAATGCATTTGCATACAATCGAATGGTCAGCGACAAAGATCCAAAATATTCGAAAGAAACTGCGTGTAAAGAATCCAACATTGCTTGGAAAAAAATTAAAAATAAACCCAAGCATGAAATCGAAAATTCTATAGAACACCTAATTACAAATGCTGACTCTACTATTCAATACCTAAATCCTCTCGAAATTTTAAATGCTGCTATTCCAATTTAGGATCGAGTAATTGAGGAAGCAGTTACCATTAATACGCCACCACCAAATGCTGCAGCCCAAAAGAAGGCAAAAGAGGCCATTGATAAAACAAATAATGAAATTGCAAAATGCCAAAAGGTCTATAACTCAACAATCGATTCAGAGACTCGATATGAGCTAATGGATCAAATAAATGACCTTAAACAAGTTTTTAATACAGAAGACAAGAAAATCCAAGACCTAAAACGAAATGCTGCCTACCAGCGTAAATGTAAAGAGAAAAAAGACAAGGATTTAACAGAAAATCAACAGGTTGTGAAGTATAACTCGACTGGGCGCTCTCCTTTCCTGTACAAGTACCCGAACTTACTAGATCACATTCACGAGAGCGTTGAGTTCGGGGCCGCTGATAGTAAAAGAAGAAAAGAAGTTATTAAGGTTCGAAAAGTGAGTCATTTAAAAGAAGAATTGGAATCAAAATATAACGAACATCTCTCTCACTCTGCTGTGAGCAATTACCTTTCGCCATGTCGTGCGCACTCAATAGAAGCAAAAAATCACCATCATCTGACAAATGTTCAGGTCAGTAATATGATTCATACTCTACGTTCATATAATATAAAAATATCTACAGTCGTCCTCCTTTATAATCACTAGTATTCCGCAAAATCAAATCAAACTTTGAATTTGAATCAAATATTTGAAATTATTTGACCAAATTTTTAATAAATTTGATCAAATAATTTCAAATACTTGATTCAAATTCAAAGTTTGATTTGATTTTGAGGAGTACTAATTTTAATAGTAATGTGATTATATAGAGTTTTTAATAAATAATTTTTCAAAAAATGGTGCTTATAAAGAGGGTGTGATTATATAGGTGACTGTAGAGGAGAACGACTGTAATTATATGCAAATTAGAAGTTATTTATTTTTATTTAACATATTAAAAATCATTAACTTTTTTAATAACATGCTTCATACCTTGTTCACTTCTACCTGTTAATAATGCTGGTTCAGGTCACATCTGTATCAAAAAACGAAAGGGAAGAGCATGAAGATATGCATTATTGTTTTGTCTCCGTAAAGGTGGCAAGACTATTTGTCTCCCTTTTCCCGACCTTGGCTGTAATTGTGTCACAAGATGACAAAGCCAAGATCCCTCTCGGCATTCCTG